CATCCATCCATCCATCCATCTGTTCATCCATCCTCCATCCATCCGTACATCCTTCTATTCATCCATCCATCCATCCATCCATCCATCCATCATTCATCCATCCATCCATCATCATCCATCCATCATCCATCCATCAATCATTCATCCATCCATCCATACTTCCATCTCTTCATCAGCCATTCATTCATCCATCCATCTATCCATCTATTCATTCATCCATCCATCTATCCATCTATTCATTCATCCATCCATCCATCCATCAATCATTCATCCATCCATCCATACTTCCATCTCTTCATCAGCCATTCATTCATCCATCCATCTATCCATCTATTCATTCATCCATCCATCTATCCATCTATTCATTCATCCATCCATCCATCCATCTATTCATTCATCCATCCATCTATCCATCTATTCATTCATCCATCCATGCATCCATTTATTCATTTGGCATCCATCTGTTTGTCCATCCATAAGCCCATTTCTTTGTCTATCCATCCATCAATCTGTCCATCTGTTCGTCCATCCAAGATGTATAAATTCACAGATCATGACAGTCATAAAGTCTCACTTTCGGTGGTCTGATGAACTCAAAAAATGAACTTACTGTAAATTAAAAACAAAAGAACAGCTAATAAAACAAACATAATCCAGGACAGGCTCCTGAATACAACACTGAATTATGTGATGGATGACTGGATGTAAAGAAATCAGACAGGTGTCTGATACATGATTATAAATTCATCTCTCCTGACAGACGGTCCAGAAATGTTTCAGTACCTTCAGTAACACCCATGAACTTCCGTCTGTTCCAGGCTCAATCCTGATTCTTTTTTTAAAGTCAGACACAACAGAGGACATATAGAAATACTTTGTCTTCTTCTTTCTGACAGCCACTGACAGTTTCAACTTGGAGCCCACTTTCCCTTCCCAAAGGAGGATCTGTAATGAGTCCCGCCTACAGTGGGAGGTGGAGGTCTGTGGAGAAAACTTCACACGGGACATGGCTCACATCGACTCACAGTACTGGTGCAACCTCACACACATCATCAGGTAAGACACTATACAGTCCAATCACCCTGTAAGACCCATAAAGATGGGATTATTATCCTTGAGGTAGAATAAATCCTGAACTGTGATGCATATGGAAGGGTTCAGTGTCCATGACCTCATAAACATGCTTTGCCACAAAGCAGTGGGTGTGYTGAGCAGTGTTTATCTTCTGGAACGTCAAGGACATGAGATTGGTCTGTAGGACAACATTTCATCCATCATGAAGAAAAATATGAGGTGTCAGACTGTCTGCCCTCTTTAATGGTCTAATTTAATTTGACCCCAAGACCCCTTTTYCATTCATCTTTGTGGGGTCTTGGTGAGATTTTCACAATTCAGTGTCTGATGGCACAAGTTTCTTTCATACAGGAGAGGGTCTTGAAAACGTGGAAGAACTGAAAACCCAGTAGAGCAGAGATTGTTAACGCCACCTTGAGGACCTCAAAAGAATAACAGTTTTTAACTTTGGGCCGCAGAGGGCCGTGGGACCACATTGATTTTTAATAAGG